GAGATAGGAGATCTAAGTGGGCCATGCCGCGCTACGGTTATGGCGGCATAAAACGCTCCGGCGCGGCGAAGAGGGCGGCCAGGGCTGTGGCAACCAGTCAGCCAGCTGCCGTGATCGTGCCAGTCGACTCGAGTGCCGTCGAGAGCCCCCTTTACGGCCGAAAAAACGGCCGCTACGATTGTCTATGCAAATTGTTTAAAATATCCCGAGCTCGGGTCGTTCTTTCGTGGGTGGCTGCCGTTTCGTGAAAACCACCTTTGGCAAACCATCTAATAACAGCATCGACTTCGATCCACCCTCTACAATTTAAAACGACGGCTAAAAATCATGTTTCGATTCGAGGGGATTAAACGGCCGAGAAAAAATCGTGACAAGGGAACGCGAACGCGCGTGGAAGTGTAATGGATTCGCAATTCTCTATCGGGCCCGAGAGGAAAAAGGCTCCTCGGTTCGAATTATGGCGGTTTACAAGGCGAGAGAAGTCGTACGACGTGGAAGAATGCCGCGCCACGCGTCAGATCGATCTCGCGTTTTTGTTCGCAGCTTCACGCTGCGTCGCCGATACGATGGTCCCGCGAGATACGGATGAATTAAAGATCGCGGCAAAGATATATGTTAGAATGGCAGCGAGCAATACGCTAAATGAAACGTGGTTCATTATCGATCTTGATGAAACTACGCTCGCGTCTCTCGGTCACGCTGTATACGTGTACCAGCACGCGTGTACCTAACGTACGTGTGCGCAGATAATGGCACTGCCGGTTTGCGGTTTGTACCGTAGCAGCATTACCTGCCTTAGATGGCTTATTGATTGCCTCGACTACGCTCCGTTCTCGTGTTACAACATGGAACATCGAATAAGAATCGCCTCGTTTCGAGACGCTCGTTCTCTCGCGCGATCTCTGCTTAGAATCGAATTTATCCTTTCTCTAATTTCCACGTGAATCCCCCAGCAGGTGACCAGAAACCCATTAAAGCTCGATCGCGGTAGATTTAATCAAGATTTTTACCGATGAAATTCGTGCCGAACGCTCATAGAGCACGCTAAGAAACGATTCCGATAGCAAAATTAGTTTTCCTCCCGCGGTTTTGTTGCGATTTATTCGCTCGAAGGAGAGAGAGGGAAAGGAGAAAAAAAAATGAAAGAGCGAAAACGGGGGATGAGATTCCGAGGCGCCAGTCGATTCGCGAAACGGAACTGCACGGCACGAGCAGAACTGGCAAATGTAATTTCGTGAAATGCTTCCATTGATATAAGAAGACCACCGGTGTCTGGGAATAAGGACGCCGAAGAGGCAGCTAGAAGAAGAATCGCGGGAGCAGCGGAAAAAGGCAGAGGTAGAAAATGAAGGAACGAGAGGAAGCAGGGAACGAAGTCGCGGGAAACTGCAAGCTAGACGGATATATCTTCCGAGTAAATTAAAATGGATTATATATGTCGACTCCATCTTCAATCTTCCTTCGTTCTCCATTCCCTCCCCGTACACCCCGGACCATCGGATTATCGTTCGAGCGGCTGGCCGCGAGCAACTGTTGGTCGACGGAAACTTTCGTAATGAATTTTCATTCTTTCGCTAAGATCCTCGTTGGTTAAGCAAGCACAAAGAGTAATCTCTTAACATGCTAACTCTCGCACCACCGACCGCTGGATCGCGGTACATAGTTTCTAATAAGCATCCGAACGATCCAACCGCGGCTCGAAACTTGGCTACAACGTCGTATGAAAATTTCATTCGCTTCGCGTAGGTGAACTCGCGAAACGACTTCCGATGCGGGTAAGAACCTTTTCAAAATTCTACGCGTATCCTACGGACGTTTAATTAGATTTCTACCAAGAGATACACTTGAAAAGTACGCTAGCTAAATCAGAGCGGCAGAGGGTTCTATTTAAACTTCAAGCTTGTTTTCCTATCACGCGACACGTTTTAACCGAGGGAGTCTTTGCCTGGGTTCCGTGGTACACGCTGGGACAAGGACAATTGTACAAGAGACGCGTCGTTTGAAACATTGTTGCTGAAGCAAGAGGCAAGGAAGCGGGTAGAGGGAAGGGGTAGTAGGTCGGCGGGCAGAATTCTGGAAAGGGCAAGTTGGCTGGCGTGGAAGGTCGGCACACCGGAGTCGACCATGATGTATGCTCCTCTTCCGTCTAATTAAACTTGGGGAGGGTCGCAGAGTTGGTTCGTTGGTTGGTTGGTCGGTCAGGTTGGTACGCTGGCTGGTCGGACGGACGTACGTACGGCGTAGGGGTGGTTCGTCGGATGGCTTTCAAAATGACAACCAAGGAGCAACGGAGAAGGAGCGAACAAAGGACCGAGAGAAAGACGTCTCTCCGGGCTCTTTCAACATTCTTGTATCGAATTAACTTCGAACCCTGTTCGATCAAAATGACGATCGAAAGTAAAATCCAACAGATTAACCCTTAAGAAGAAACCGCGTTGTTTACGAAATAATTTAAACGAATAATTTTCACCGATGCTCGCGACTTTTCCGCTCGGATTTTCACGCCGAGTCTCAACATTCCCAGCCACTATTACGAGGCTAAAGACGAACGAGAGGAAGTTTAACCGCGAGGACGATGCGAAGCGTATAAAGCAACTACTCCGCCTCCATCAAATTAATTTAATTTATACGCGCTCGTAGAAGATGCCTCGCGATTTGCTCTCCTCATCGCGCTACCCTCGTATTCGTCTCCTTTGATCTAAACGTCAGCCGAAACACGGCTCCTTTTCTTTCCATTTTCTTCGTCTGCGAACGCGTCTGCGGCTAGCAACGACCGTTCATCTCGTTCCACGTTCGATTCCGGCCATCTATCTATGCTGTTGCCTGAGCTATGCGTCGCTTTCTCAGTGCCCAGCGTCAACGGGGAACGCGGCTCGCGGATCAGAGCCGACTTTCACGAACGGGGACAGCTTATTGGCGAGCCCCGACGAATTCCTTGGCGCGAGTCGCGTCGCGATTCCGAAATGTTTCAGGGACCGGGTGAAATGATATACCTAGCTAGTCTAGTCTACAACCGGTCGAATTATCCCGGTGACTCGTTAGTTTTCCGGTAGATAAATTTCAATTTCGTCAACGAGCACCGATGATAAACGGGAATGATAGAGAATTTTTCAGGAAAATACGCTTTAAGGTTTGCATAGCAAGAAATCTTGTAAGATATCGTCCGGAACATCTGTTCCGTGATAATTAACGAAACGTTGGTAAGAACGTTAGAAGCTCGTGGCGGTAAGTCATCAGGGTAGAAAGATTGGGGCGTTAAATCAAGTGCGTCGAGGTCGTAATTCGTTTGGTGGATAAAAAGAACAAGAAAAAAAGAAAAAGAAAAAATGAAGAACGGTAGGTAGGGGCTGTTTTAAGAGGCTGGCACTCGGCTGAATACACACGCTTGGCTCGATTCAGTTACTCTTTTAGGGCGTAATATGTATCCAGCGCGCCGAATGAATTCCGGTTCACGGTGTACTCGCTTAATCGCTCGTAATAACGGCGAGACGAATGCCCGCGAGACGACTGTCGCGAAAAACCGCTGTAATTTCTGGCAGCGGATACCGGCAGTAACAGCGCGACGAGACCAACCGCGATCATGCTGTTCGTTTCATTCTTATTCCCCGATTGTTACTAATTTATCGGCGCCACGAGCAAGGCTATCGGTAGAGATTCAACGAGAAACGTTTGTGATTTCGAATGATATTCTTCAAAAATACGAAAAATATTGTAACACGTTTTGAAGAAGCAAAAGGAACGCAATCCGCTCGACTTACATTAAAATCCTTTCAAGTCGAATCGTTCTGGAGGATACGATTAACGGAGGAGGAAGGAGGAGACGCATCGTATCGGTACAGCAGCAGGTTCGAGCTCGTCTTTTCAACAGCCAGCGCGATATCGTCATCGAGCAAACAGCGTATATGCATTAAACCATGAACCCACTATCCCCGACGTCATATCCAATACACGTTGTTAGGGGGGTTGCTGAAGCCGGAGCTAGAGAAGCGCGGTGCGACGCGGCGGGATCACCGGAGGGGGTGGTTTGCGGGCTGGTTTCAAGGGTGGCTGCCAACCCAACCCCCCTTGTGCGGTAATGGCATTAACCGAGCTGCAATATGATTACCGCTCTCGCAAGGTAACCTGATCACACCCGAAATCTATGGGGTGTCTGTAGCGCGAGGGACAATGTACCGTGCTTCGAATTGCTCTGCAACGTTACGCAACCGCGGCTACCATCCCCCTCTTCGTTCCTCCACAAGTTGAAATATAAATTCAAATTTCGTCTGGAATCTTAATTTAGCTTTGTCTTCTAACGAAATTCCTTTTATCACCTTCTACGTCAAAAATTTCTTTTTTAACCCCGTCTATAATCGATAAGCCTAAATTGGAATTTGAATTTCTTCCTCGAGTCTATTTCTTTCTATCCCTCTTCCATCCCTTTAATCGCGTTGCGTTTTTTTGCAGCTCAGATTACCCGTGAATCATTAGATGGCCGGCCCCCGTTAGAATCGGAAAGCGGCATCGTGGCACCGCTCCTTATCTCGGCATTAGAAGATTAGTGTACCCTCTCTTCGTCAACGAACGCGTTTTTCCGTCCTCGCGTTCTTTCCGTTTCGACCTTTAACTCCCATCGGCCGGGATAAAAGCAATTTAGGAAATGTTTCCTTTTTGCCCGCTCGATTTCGTTCAGTCGTTTGTCTTGGTCGTATTAAGCGCGGCTCGATAAGCGAATGACCGCCGATAAAGGCTGTACTCGAAGATTGTACCGAAGATTAAAAGAACGGAGAATGATTTTTCCAATTATTTTCACCCAAGAAAAAGAGACGGATTCTTGATGAAGGACGAGCTAGAGTGTACAGTTACGTGGACAATAGACGATGAAAAACAACTGTAGACACTTACCGTGAGGTGTTGAAACAGCCACGCCCTGAGGATGTTGGTCGCCACCTTGGGGAAGATACCTCTCTTCTTCTGGTTCTTCTTACCCGACGAATCGTCGTCTTCCTCCCCGGTGCCCTCGCCGCTTCCGATACTCGCGTTACTCGCGTCACCTGCAATCAATTAAAATATTGTTCATTTTACAATTTACAATGGTCGCAGTATTAAAGCAGAAGGGTTGACGACAAAAGTGATAAGAAAATTTCACAAGGCGATCTTCGACGAAATTCCCGTATGTATATTATTAAGGGTGAGATTTTCGAGAGGTTTAAAGCAAGCGCCCGATTTTCGGTGCAAAGTAGACTGAGCGATAACTACCTCACCCCCTAGGCCGGTTCCCATGCATACAAACACCATTAAGCCACCCGCAATCACCCTGTCCCTCTTTCGTTCAACCACCCCCCTGTAAACGTTCTAGCCCCGATTCCGAGGCTGCCGCCTCTTTTCCTCCCTTATTTTCCAACCCCCAGAGCGCATTAATTCCCCGTCATTTATCAATCTTAGCTTTTTAATTGCACGGTCACCGGGGACTCGAGCAGCGAGACGGTAATGAGAGATATTAAGACGGCTTACGGTCACGCTTTACCGAGGCAAATATCATTTTTATAAATTATCGTACCGGAGTCATTTCCAGGTACACCCCTGCCCCTTCGAACCCATTTCCCGTCAGATCCATTCAGCTCGCATTAATTAAGACAGGAGTTGATGAACTCGTCGGATGCCAAACTTTTTGTACGATATCTAATACAAATTTTGTTCAATTCTTTCAATATCTAAAAAAGAAAGGATTCTTACGGAAGTGTACAGAAATGAAATCGATAGTTAACGAAGACGGTGATGATCGAAATTCACCTGGTGTGCCGGCCGATCGATCTCGTTAGAACGGCCGGAAGTTCGAGGTTCCCTTTGTTCCTTTCTCTCTCTCTCTGTCGATCGGCGCGAAAGGAATACGGCAGGCTACTTACGCCGACGGATTATAAATGACCGAGCCTTATCGTGCTGCCCAAGGCTCCGGTTCCCAAGGTTCTATCGTAACAGAGAGATCAGGGTGAGCCCGGTGCTCCCAGGGGTTTCACGATGACAGGTCGCCCGGGGGCGCCGGCCAGCCAGCCCTCCCTCCCTCTCCCCGAAGAACGGACTCGTGGCCGAGATTAACTTTGAATTCGTCGAGCGAAAAAGGGTGGTCGGTCGAGGCACGTCGAAAAGAGGAGGAAAAATTTGTCCGTCGTTGCGACGGACGGAGCGGAACGACGGGAGATCGATGGAAATCCGAGCCGAACGCGACGTTCTCCTGGACCGACTTAAGGCCGGGGAAAATCGAGGGAAAACGATCGACTTCGATCAGACTTCCTGCGACCACCTGCCATCCCGATTCGACGAGATTTGCAATCTGATCGAATACTACGGACCGATGGGATTAACGGTGCGTTTCAATGTCAAATCCCTGATAGGAATTTTACTTTCTGTTTCAAATCTTCCTAAATCGATGATCTACGAAATATTCATTAAAAAATGACAGAAGCGTTTTCGAGGAGGAATCGTTGGCGTAATAACGACCGAGAAATCACGTCATCCCGATGAATCCTCACGGTCGGTTGAACAAGGAGCCAGGAATCTCGGCGTCGATCCGTTTCCCTCTCTCGAGGTGGTTGTTTTCGTCCAATGGACAAGAGTGCCGTTTGCGGTGGTCCTTGCTGCTCGCAACAAAAACGACGTCAGATCCTCTTCCTTCTCCACCCTCGTCTGTTCCAGCCTCGTAATGGCGAGCCTGTGCAAGCGAATAAACGCGGTCTAGAGGCGCGCGGAACGGCCGGCAGCCGGCTAGCGGAATAACGGAATGGCCAGCGGAGCGTCCCCCTGATTGCAGTTAATTTACTCGGTGAATCGAGTTAATGTAGCGTGCCGATCGTACGCTGCCGTTACCCGTGCCCTGACGTATCGGTCGAAGAAGCAACGTTGCTGGCCTGCACGTCAGGAATTTCTCATTTCCGCGAGAGAAACTAATCCGAAACGAAAAACGAAGCTCCTCGTGCTGGGCAAGAAACGGAAGATGAAGAGATACGGTGTCGAAGGAGGCTGGTACGCGTCGATGCTTCTTTGGGACAAATCTGGTGCACGAAACGAGGAAGAGAAGATTTGTGACCGAGGCTCTTCCGATAAAAGCACCGCTAACACGTGGGTCACCGATACAGAAACATCAGTTCAACTCATTCGCAGTTATTTCGCTTAGATTTTTAACGAGCATTCGCCTGGTTCCTAATTAACTTACAAAGTTTTATCAAAGTTTACACGCTCTGCTATGACAAGGTAATCCAAACAAGAAATTTTGATTCCTATCGAACATCCTGCGATAAATTTCCACCTATCTAATTTACCCGAGTCCGTACAACGATTTCATCTAACGTACGATGTATCTAGTTTCCCGCCACGTCGAAGCAACAAATTACAATTAAGAATCCCACCTGATCGTGCGCGTAATCCGGCTGCGCTGTTACTCGCGCGTGACCGATAAGGGGAACCGGTGTTTCTCAGCCCTGGCAACTCGATCAAGATCGACGAGTCACGGTGTATCCTGAGATAGAGTCTCTCTAGCGCGACCATTAGAAAACACACGGGACGTTAGAAAACAATTTCCACCGTCCTGCGTGTACGGGACGAGTTCGTCGTAGTTCGTCGGAAACGAAAGGGATCGCGCGGCTGGTTGAAATTTAGCGGGGCGATAAATCGCGAGAGGAAAAGTCGCGAAAATTGTGCGCGGCATCGGGCGTTGCGCGCGTGTACTCTCGGCCCGTACGACGCGTTTACGAGTCGGTCGCAACAGAGGGGCACCGCCATCCAAGCCATATCGTACTCGTGTTGATTTACGCGGCGCACCGCGCATTTTTACTGCCGCGTTATAGAGATTTAAGTGCAGCCAATTATACGTTTACACCGTTTCTCCCCTACGGAGATCAGACGCGAAGAGAATCAACCAGGTCCTCCTGTCGACCAACGCGGACGTCGAGAGGAGAATACCATTCTCTGTCTCTCCTCGTGCTTCTTTCTTTCGAGCTGTCGCGGGCTATACTTAGCCGATGGGTCAAGAATAAGCCGAGTCTCACGGCGGCCTGACTATTCGCTATTTCGAGAGGTCGAACGACGCGGACGCGAACGAAACGCGCGCCCTGGAAAGCGTCTTTTGCTATCAATGAAAATACTCGGTGGTTGTCGCGGTTCGATAAAACTTTCTAACGTCTGATCGTGGCAGAATCGGAATGAGAAGAGCCGGCAGCGTGGACGCTCGAGCGAGCACCACCGCGGTTGGTCGTGGAAATAATAAGCGGCAATGATGGTAATAATCGTGATCGGAAACCAATGAAGCGGACGTACGTGATCATTAGCGAGAAAAGTACGCCACGGGCAGGCGTAAACGCCACGATAACACGATTATTCCGTGGATAGCAGGTAGCAATTAACGTCACGCCTCGCGAGCCGTCATTTTTACCGGCGACCCACGAGTGCAGCTCGGACAAAAGGGATCCTCCGGCCGATGACGACAGCCAAACGAACGGAGGCTCGACCATCGAACACTATACGTGTTCCTTGGATCTCTAGCTCTATTTGGTGTGGCCGACGCGGACCGTCGAAATAAACTGCGCATATGGCCACCGAAAATAAACTCCTTATTCCCATCCCGTCGAACCGAGGACCCTGTTCCCGTCGGCTTCTTCCCTTTCTTCCTTTCCTCTCGCGCCACCTCATCCCTGTGCCATCGTACAACCGCGTGGATCCGCTTCGAACCCATCGACCCGCGCGAGTACAGCGTGAAACCGTCCCGATCTTGCACCACCGTCGCGGAGGTAGAGAATGCATACCGGATACCGGGACATTTATTTGCTGCCACCCGCGGAAGAACGAAAGAGGAAACGAAGGAGAATAAGTACGGTACACCTCTGCGGATATCATGTTTCAACGCGTCGCATGGGTTTCTTTTCGTGCGAGGGTGCGCTGCTAATTTTGGATTTTTCTATCGGCTGTCGCGGGAATTATTAATAGTATCGATTTGATATCATTCCAATCATTACCTAAAGCAAACGGAAAGTTTAGTAAAATTTTCCGTGTACATCAGAAGTTTTGGCAACCGACTTGGCAGTGGACGATAGCGGGATTACTTCTAAGTATAATTCAGCGTGGAAGGCAACTATATCGGCGGATTATTTTCAGGCAAATTGCAACGAGTAACGTCGTTGAAATTTGACAAAATATCACCGTTAAAGCTCGGGATTTATTTATTGATATTAGAGGATGTGAAATATGAAAGGGGTTAAATCAAGCCCCCGATATGTATGCACGCATATTTCATTTTTCAAAACACACGGTGAACGTCACGCCGAAAAAAAAAAAAATAAATAAATAAAACGCGCAACAAAGAACGAGACTCGTTAAGTGGAAAATTTAATATCCCATGCTTTTGTATGATGTAATATACGCAATAAAACGTTCCTAGCGTTTTTACCTGGTTTTTCACGCGCCCAGGCTACAAAATATAGTTATTCCCCTGTATGTTTTAGATTCGAGCGCTATAAAATCACCCTTCGTTGAAACGCTCACCCACCTTTGTTAAGTTCAGAATCATTCGAAATTACACCCTCTGTAAGTAGAGAAATGACCTAGTAAATGGTGGACTGAGATAGAAAAGCTCCTCAAGGAAATAGAAAAATGTTTCTCAAGCAACTGAAAGTCTCGAAAGGGGTCAACGGACCAAAACACGCGTATTCGTTCGGCCTCGACAAGCTAGCACGGGCAGAGGCCTCGTTCGACGATTCCAAAACTATTTTCGTCGATGAGAAATGCAGCTCGACGGATCGTGGCCCACCCTGTACTCCCTGCGTGGTTGGTTCCCTCTTTTTTTTTTTTCATACGAGAGCCAGCCCTCTTCCGGCGGTCGCGCGGTTGAACATCGCCTCGGTCGATTTGCCGTGGCGTGAACGTATCTCGAGCGGTCGCGGTCGCGGCACGATGCGACAAGGCCGACAAGCCGCTTAATCCGAGAATCTGCTTAACCGAAAGATTAATCGGCGATCGTGGGAGAGACGAGGCGTCCGCGGTGTCGCGGTGACGGCGTCCCGCGGCA